GACCACATTGGCAAAATGAGAAGGTTGCTACCCTCCCCCACACTGGCTAATCTCCACTCAGGAAGATGTTCTCACCTAAGAAAGGCACAGCCCTTCCCAGATTTCCTTCCTACTTTGGGAAAAGAAGCAAGCATTAGCTTAAGAGCAAATAATGGGAAGATTTCTCCCCCAAGTACATAATAAAGACCTGCTGTCCCTAAGCATAGGGCCAGATGAGAAACAAGTCCAGGCAGGATGGGTCTGGTAAGGAGATTGTTGGGGTGGGAGTATCCAGAGGAGAACCACCTAACTGCAGGACAGAGAAACGTTGACATCTCAATACAGGACCACAGAACTGGGATCCTTAGGCAACCCAGCAATTGTGCTCCCTGGTATATACCTAACAGATCCGGGTACATCACCAAAAGATGTTTATAAGAATGTTCATGGTGGGGTTGTGCAATGTAAATCAGTGGTAGAGCACCTTCCTAGCATCCTTGAGACTGTAGGTTCAATGCCCAGAACCATAAAAAAAAAAAAGTTCACAGAGCACGATTAGGTATAGCCAAAAAAATAAGAGGAACTACTCAAATGTCCATCTACAGTGGAACTATAGATGGTCACATAATGGAATACAAGAATCAACTCTACCTACATCCAAAATTATGCAAGAATCTCACAATGCAGTGAGAGAAACCAGCTCTAACAGGTTAGACTGTATGATTTTTATATAAAGATCATATACAGGCAAATTAATCTACAGGATCAGAAATCAGACAGGTTGCCTTGCAGGAAGGGTAGTGAAGGCAGAAGCATTTGAGGTGCTGCTAATGCTATTTTTGGATCTGCGTGCCAGGTCCATGGGCATTTGAAGTCGGTGATGTTATCAAGCTCATCACTTGGGAACTTTTCTTTAATCTATGTTATTCTTCAATTAGAGCAAGTTTCTGAAATGTTCTCTCCCATTCTTTCCCTACCCTCCAAATGTTTCGCAGAGCTATGGCTTCTGGCCCTAGGAATTCACTGCTGTCATAAGCAATGCCTTCCTTCCATGGTAGGAGGGGAGGACACCCTGCACTGGTAGCCTAGGAACAGAGTGCCCTGCGAGGAGGTGGGAAGGGAGACTAGAGGTTTGAGACCTGCTCCCCAGACACAATGGATGGTGACGTAGACAGAGTCTTTGGCAACCAGCTTTACTCTGCCACTAAGCCAGGAAGGCAGCTGGCTGGGTTCAGAGTCTCAGGTCCCCAACATTCACTCCTTTGAGGCAGATTTATTGGGCGTTGTGGAATCCTCCTAGGCAGTGAAGCAGCCAACCAGGATTTAAATCCAGGCCTTACTGCTGGCTGCCCCAGTACTCCATTTTCCAGCTAAGGGGAAATTAACATCTGCTTTGCAAGGCAGCTACCTAAACATAAAAAATTAACTAACATCAGACTTTAAGCTTCCCAAGGGAGGAACTTTGCTCATTGTTTCAGGTGCAGTTCTAGAACAGACCATGATATATACAGATGCCAAATACTTGTTTACTGAAAGAATAAAATTTAAATAAAGGGCATAACCCAAAGGAGGGACTCCAACCTAAAATGCAGCTTTTACACCAAAAGCCACTAAACATAGCCATCTTGAAGCTCAATCAGTTCATTTCTGAACTCTCAAGTTTCCTATGGTTAACCTCCAGTTGAACATACTGAAGGTCTTCAATCTAGTCCTGGCTCTCTGTCATTACGTTGCTGTGCTCAACTGTCCTTAAGGATGGGAAGGTCACTGTAGGTCCCACACTTTTTTTTTTTGGTAGTACTGAGGTTCGAACTCAGGGCCTCACACACTTGCTAGGCAGATACTCTTATCATCTGAGCCGCTTGCCAGCCCTATTTTGTTTTTTAGTTCTTTTTTTTTTTTTTTGAGATAGTGTCTCTTGAACTATTTGCCCAGTTGGAAATGTTTCTGGAAAATTCTTACAGTAAAAAGGAATAAATTGCTCTTGGGGTTAGAAGTTGTTACAGGTGGCTGTGTGTCTCAGGGCCCCAGTATTTCACTTTTTCCTTCCATCTACCTCCTACTTTGTGGTAGTTAAAAATGCCAAGGAACTCAGGAGTCATAGACTTCCATTCAAATCTCAGCTGGATATTACAACAATGACTTTGGTAAAAACCACAACTTAGGTTTCTTCTGTAAAATGGGCTGACTTTTGCCAGACTGTCATGATTCCTGCAAATACCACAGGGCATCCTATTTAAGTACTAGATCTTGGACACAGACCAAGAGGTAAAAGTTGTACCTAGGAACCTCAGAAATTCATGAGTGAATTGAATCCATCAAGCTGTGCCTTGGTTTCTCTACCTTTACAACCCTGGTAGGGTTAGGTTGCGGAGTTTCTTCAGTTGCAACTCTGAGATTAAGAGCTCAAGGTGTTTAATATTTACCTTACCTGCCTCAAGGGGATGTTAGGATAAAACAAGCCCAGGGTTGTAGAAGCGCTTTGAAGGGGAAGATGCACTTACAAAAAAGGCATTAATTATGTCAGATCATTTTTTTGAGCTCAACTTCATAGACACCCATAATATTTATAGCCCAGGGGCAAACAACAAGGGCAATTTTCCTTAGCAGTAATGGAAACTTGTCTGCTTGGCCAAACTTGAGAGTTTGTATGTGCCTCCAGGATAACCCTTTCAACCTGGCTGGATCCAGGGTGGAACAACCTTGTTTTACAGATGGGGAGCTAGAATGGGAGTGGGGAGGTAGAAGTGTATCGATAGTTAGAGACCAAGAGAAGAAACACGCCTATTTTTTTGTTGGGGAATTTCTCTTTATTTTAAATATTTGTTTTAGGGCTGGTGGAGTAGCTCAGGTGGTAGAGGGCCTCCCTAGCAAGTATGGCAAGCATGAGGCCCTGAGTTCAAGCCTCAGTACCGCCAAAAAAAAAAGTGACCCTTAAATATTTGTTTTACTTTACCACTGAATTACATCCACAGGCCTTTTTAATTTTTTTTATTTTTATTTTAAGAGATGGGGGTCTTGCTATGTACCCAGGCTGGCCCTGATCAGACTCAGGGATCCTGTTGCCTCAGCTTTCGAAGTAGCTGGGCCAGTTTGGGCGATTTCAACTTATTTGGACCATCTGGGCCCAGAAACTCAATTTTACTTAAAAACAAAGTGGCATCCCATGTTACAGGAAGCTTTCCTAAGAACCAGTATCATTTGCAGGGAGACTCAAGGTGAACCAAGCATAACCCACTCTTTGTTTTATAAACCAGGTGTGTTTCTGGCACAAACCCACCATTTTCACAACCATAAGCCAGACATCCGAGAAAGCTGAATTTCCTCAAAAGGTTTAAAATGCCTGACGTCACCGGGAAGCACTCACCAACTCAACCATGAAATCGAAAACCTGATCACAGCTTCCCTTCCAACAACTTCAAGCCTAGTAAAGTGACAGCTAATCTGATAGTTCCCGCTTCGGTAAGAAAGATAAGGTACTGACAACACTCAAAACCATAGCCTGCTCTCACACGATAGCTGAGAACTTGACAATGGCGGGGAGAGCTGTAGATTTGGCAGAGGTCTGGTTAGCAATAAAGCTTCCTCAGGGAGCCGGAATAGGATTTGGGGCCCTGCCTGAGTTAACATTTTTACAGGTTGGCTCAGTTGCAGTTTGTTAGCCAGCCAGCAATAAAGCCATGTGCAAGAATTTAAGGTTTATGAGGCATGGCCTCTTAATGCCTCTGCTCAGCTCCCTACAGCCATGGGCCTAAGGAGCCTGGCCTAGCCTGGGTGTTAATTGTTTTTGTCAATCTGCAGAGTTATTCCGGAAAAGAATTCGAAAAAGCCAAATAAACAAAAAACAAGCTTCTACAGACTCAAGGCCCTCAATCCTCTTTTTGCAGGATTATCTGGAGAAACAAAGGACATCCATTCTACCCCTAAGCATCAACACCCGGCCCCCCCCTCAAGCTGTGGGCATATGTGGGTGAGGATTATACGAAAGCACTAGAAAAATGCTAAGTGGCCATGGTTCTTAATTTTTGAAAGCCAGGTGAGCTATAGGTCCCCTCCCCAGAAAAATGTATGCACAAGTTCTCTGGAGTTCCACCCAAGGATCCCAGGTATATCCCTGTTTAAGAACTTGGGTTTGATTCCACGGAGGGACCTCCATTGTTCTGTCCACTTGGAGGGAAAGAAGGCCCCCACCAGCCCGCAGCTGCCTGGTTCTCATGACACACTGGCTCTCCAACCAAGTGACCTCCCACTCAAGTTTTTGAACTTGAGTGGAGGAAAGAAGAAATTGAAAGATCAAAAATGTGCTTTGATCTCTCTCTTCATAGCTCAAGGCCTGCCGGTTTGGGACACACACACTCCACACTCCCCAACTGATTTACCATCCCAGTCCCAAGACGCTGGGGAGCGGGGAGGATCGCCGGTGCGTGATGGCCCCATTCCAGGTGTGCCAGGCCGTTCGCGGGCAGGCTGCAGCGGCGCAGGCCCTCCGGGAAGGGCAGGGTTAAGAGTACATTCCAACTGCCCAAGAAAAAGGGGGACGGGGGGAGGGGAACGCGGAGAAGAGAAACAGACCCTGTCTGTCTGTCGGAGACACAAAGCACGGTTCACAAAGGGGGCCCGAGAGGGGCGAAGGGGGCTGCCCGGGGCACTGCTCATCCCCACACCTGCGCGGGGGTTGGGGCAGGAATGTGGACCGCGCATTCCTCGGCTGGGGCCAGCCGGGGGAGCTTTCCACGTCGGGGCAGGGTGAGGGGCTCAGCTGCCCGGCACGGAGGGGTCAAGGCAAGCAGCGGCTGCAGGGCACGAAGAAGCTGGACGTTAGAGGGCGTTTCGCTGCCCTGCCTTCTCCGCCAGCCACTCACCCGCACCCGGCAGGCTTTCTGCGCCTCCCTGGGGTCTGAGGCGGCGCCAGAAGTGCCCTGCCCTGGCCTGGCCACCCCTCGCGCGGGCCACAACGGAGAGGACTCCGTGCGATCCCCAGCGCGGCGGTTCCACCCAGACTGGCTCCCGGAGGGTCTTACCTTTCCCCAACGCCTGGCCAGCCTCCAGCTCCGTGCCTCCCGCCTCCAAGGTCACTTCAGCCTCCCCGAAATTCGCCCGGCACGGCTCGGAGCCTGCGCACGGCAGCCAGAAAACCTGTGCCTGAGGGCAGAAGGGGAAAGAGAGAGGCTGGGTCACAGGCGTGCCTAGCTCTGCACACCCCATCCTGGGGAGTCCTCACCTGTTTGACCCTGGCCCCTAGAAGCCCAACCCCGCGCTTTCCCGGACGCCACCACCACGTGCGGACCCCGCCCGCCCTCCAGGGAGCGGTCCCGCTAGGGCAGAGGAAGGGTAAGACACAGGAGTACCTGCAGTAGCAGCAGGAAGCGGAGGAGGGACGCGAGAGGCTCTCTAAGGAGCCCCATGGTTGGAGAGAGGAGGGTGAGAAGCTGCGGTGACCGCGGGACTCTGCTGCCCTTAAGCTCTCGGTGCCTCTTTGAGCCCCGCAACTCCCGGGGAGCCGGGGGGTGTGAGGCGGGGGAGGCCAGGTGAGCGCAGGTAGGTGCTGATTGGTTCAGCGTCACAAGGTCCCGCCCCCTCGCAGGTGGGGCCGTGGCGGGCGTGCTTAAGGCACTTGCGAAGCCCTGGTGTGCATTCTCCCCGCATTCCTGGGGCTGCTCCGGGCCGGGACTCCGCGGGCCTCACAGGGGTTGTGGGTTCGAAGGAAAAAACCAAAAAAACAAAAAATTTCATTCCTCAGTCTCCGCAGCACAGAAGACGCTGTAAAAGCAAGCAACTGGAAGAAAAAAAGTGGAGACGCATCTGAGCCCGACTGAACCCAGAGACTCCCCATTCATGCAGCCGCAGGCGCCGTTAGCCAAAGCTTTGATGGAGGCGGGGCGTGACCCCCCACACCCGGCTACAGCGGGGAGCTGCCCTCTGCCGCTTTCTCCACCCTCTGTATGCGCCGGCCTGGAGGGCCCGAGGCTTAAAACCGGTGGTGAGGTCCCCAGGGACCGCATTACACCGTCTGATACACCTTGCAGGAGAATTATTACTTCCGTTTCTCAGTTGGACAAATGGAGGCCAGGAGGGAAGGCCACAGAGTTTGGCAGCTGCAGTAGTGCTCAGAGTGCGAGGTAGGGGAATGGTTCTCCTCGACATCCCCCCACCTCAATATAACATTATGTAAAATGCAAACAATGGTAGCTTAAGCTCAGCTTTTATTGGTCTGAAATGCTGTATGTAATCTATGTAAAAACTGCTGTGCGGTGTTTTCCCTTCCTTACACCCTTCCCTTACACCCTTCCTGGGAGATAAACCGCGGACCTGGGAATCCTCTAAGTTACACTTTCCACTGCGTCAGACATGATGGACTTCTTCGAGGGACAGAAACGCTGAGGTTCAATCACTCCGCCCCACAGGCCATCTCCCCACGGAGCTGAGCTTTGCGGGCCAGTCCCAGGCCGGTGTCCCTGAGCTCTCCCCCACCTTCTCCGGCTCCCTGGGAAACGCCAGGATGATGTCTCTCTGCCCCACTCCCCCAACCCCGCCCTCTCCCCAGCTCACATGTAGGGGTTTGTTTATAGACTTTTAGCATTCAAGGACCAATCTGGGGGCTGGCAGAGTGGCTCAAGTGGTAGAACATGCCTGCCTAGCAAGTGTGAAGCCTTGAGTTCAAACCCCAGTACTTCAAAAAGCAAAGAAAAACCAAGGACCAACCTGGTGACTACCCGTCCTTTCCACCACCAGGCCTGTGGCTAAGCGGTGGATGCTTGTGCTGCGATGGGGACGTCTTTTTCTCTCTCTTGCCTAGCATCAGCTCTGGACCTGCACCACCTTGGTTCAAACTCAGGTCCCACCACTTCTTAGTGCTGTCTCAGTTCTCCTTCAACCTTGGAGCTATTATGACACCTACCCTCTAGAGTACTATACTAGGATTTTTAAATGAATTAACACGTTAAAAACACAAAACTCAGTTTCTGGCACTGAGCAAGGGCCCAATGTTCCTGGTACTATATTGCTCTAGGATCTGTCTCAGTTGGCCTGCTCTGCCTCGCCAGCCGTTTTCTCTCCAGTTTAGCAACCCCACTTCCGCAACTACAAGAATGAGAAGCGTCAGAAGCCTTCAATTTCACGGCTGAGGGTAAAGCGAGCAATTGGCATCCGGTATCTGGGGAGCGCTGCGTGATCAGGCCGGCCCGTGGTCCAGCAGCTGAGGATGGGAGGTGGCCAACATGCAGGAAAAGCCCAAGGCAGCTCGCAGAGCTCCACGCTTCCCTCCCCTGTCGGGGGCGCGTTCTGTGCCCAAGCAGAGGTTAGATAGCCTCGCGCCGACCTTGCGCAAAGGCGCAGGCCCAGGCAGGACGTGGTGGCCGGCGGATCCTCGCCTCGCAGGTTCCCCAGCGTCGGCAGGGAGCCAGACGAAGCCATTAGGCGGACAGTTAAACACAAACGAGCCTCGGGATACAGGCCCTAATTAAGTAAACACCCGGCTGGAGAGCTGTGGAGCGCGCTCATTTCCGCCTCCTCTTTCCCGGGCTCTCAGCATTCCAGGCGGGGGGCTGAGAGAAGAGGGAGGAATTGAGAGTCAGCTCTTCTGCCTGCAGCTTGGACCACAGCGCTGTCATCTCCGTAGTTCCCCTACCGGTCGTTCATTCATTCATTTAACTGAATGAATTCAAGTCTTGAATTTCTCTTAAATTTGCTGACAGCTTGCTAGATGCCAAACACTGCAGATAGAATGGTGAAAAAAAGAAGACACATAGCACGCTTGGACCTTGAATCCCAGAGTGTGAGGGGTGAAGTAAATAAGCAAATATGTCACATGTCACATGTGCCATGGTAAGATACACTGTGTAGAAGAAACAGTGGGAAGGGCGGATCCACCGACGGAGATAGGGTTGTAAACGAAATAAAGTGATGGACAAGGTGTTGAAGTTATGGTCTAACAGGAAGCTGGAACACCCCCACCCCTCCAGCCCCCCACCCCCATCTTCCTCATGAAAAGACCAGAGAGGAATGACAGAGAACCAACCCAGGTGTTGAGGCCCCAAAGATCAGCCTTGCTACCTTGAGGCTGGAGGGCAAAGAGAAGAAATTGCGTTTTTGTAAGTCCAAGGATGGGGGCACAGAGAGCTGAAACATGGGGGGACCCGTCCCAAATGCAATAGTGGTTGAGGAAGGTATGGCAACTGCCCAGAGCAGAGCAGGGAGTGCTCAGAGAAAAAATATCCAGCATCTCTGTCTTCTCAGCCTTCATTTCCTGCTGATCATTCATCCATCAAAGCACCTAAACCTAGAGGGCAAGAAAGCCCAGGTGTGTGTGTGTGTTGGGGGTCTCTAGAGATCATTCTCCATAGGCACTGGGACACACAGAATTACAGAATTTCTTTCTTTTCTTTCTTTCTTTCCTTCCCCTTCCCCTTCCCCTCTCTCTTTCTCCCTCTTTCTCTCTCTGTGTAATGGGGATTGAACCCAAAGCTTTGCACATGCTAGGCAAGTGCTCTACCACCGAGCTACACAACCCAGCCCACAGAATTTTCTAATAGATGGGGGTGGAGGAGTAAATAAGAAAGCCCAGAGGCCTTGCTAAGAAAAGGACCTTTGAACAAAGATCACAAGGAAGTAATAGAACAAGCTACAAGGAGAAATGAAGGGAAAGAGTATTCGAGGCAGAGCAAACATGACAAATGCCTGGAGGCAGTAGATTATAAGGAACAGAAAAAAAAACAAAAAGTCAATCTGACTGGAGGAGAGTGAGCAAGTAGGAAATGAGTCAGAGTTTGGGAGGGTGGAGAGCAGGTCTTATAGTGCCCCTTCAGCCACTGTCAGAATTTTGGCTTGTACTTTACATGGGAGGGGAGGAAGCCACTACTGGTTTTGAAAGAGACAGTGGTGCTCAGAAGACTTCAAAGGACCAGGGCAGAAGGGAAGAAGTGTGTTGGATTCTGTTGCAATCATCTAGGTAAATGATGGAATAGTTTGCTTCAGGTTGGTCATTGTGGAAGGGATAAGAAGTGATCAGATTTAAAACAAAGGTGCTACATACTGTAATCCCAACCAGTCAGGAGGCAGAGGTACAAGGATTGAATCCAAGGCCAACCCAGGGAAAAAGCAAGAGACTCTACCTGGAAAACTAAAAGCAAAAGGACTGGGGCATGGCTTAAGTAGTAAGAGTGTGATATCTTGAGTTCAATCCCCAGTACCACAAAGAAATAATAATAAATCCAGAAAATGACAAGTGTTGATGAGGATGTTGGAAAAAAGCGGAATCCTTGTATATTGTTGTAGGATGTAAAGTGATGCATTCATTATGGATGACAGTGTGGTGGTGCTAAAAAAATTTAAGTTAGAACTGCCACACATTGTATAGAATTACCACAATGCATCCCCAAATATGTATCAGGTGCCAATTATTATGTGTCAACTGAAATAAAAATAAAACAATAGAATTACCATATGATCCAGCAATTCCACTTTTGGTATATACCCAAAAGAAATGACAGCAGGCACTTTAAGAGATATTTGTACCCCCATGTTCATAGCAACATTGTTCATAATAACCAGAAAGTGGAAGCGACCTGTGACCATTAATGGATGAATGGAGAGACAAAATACTAAAGAGGTACAGAGTTTCTGTTTTGCCACATGAAAGAGTTCTGGGCACAGATGCTGGTGACAGTAGCACAACATTAAAGGTACTTAATACCACTCAACTGTACACTTGAAAACTTGTAGGATGGGGACACCCTCTGTTGGGACCTCCCTTCCCAACTCTGGGGACTCTACTCTCTGACTTTGCACTTTTCTATCGCAATAAACTCTCCCACTTTACACTTAAAAAAAATTGGTAGAATGGAGTTGGGTTCCGGTGGCTCACATCTGGGAGGCTGAGTCTGGGAAGATAGAGAAATCGAGCTTTGAGATCAGCTAGGGCAAATAGTTCCCAAGACCCCATTTCCAAAGAACCAGAGCAAAATGAAGTGGAGGCATGGCTCAAATGGTAGAGCGTCCACTTTGCAAGTGGGAAGTCCTTAGTTTAAACCCAGTCCACCCACTCCCTCAATCCCCCTGCCCAAAATAAATTAAAAGCTTTTTTAAAAAATTGGTAAATTTTATCACAGTTTTTAATAATTAAAGAGAGAGAGAAAAGAGATCAGATTCTGGGTATTTTGAAGTTATCAGCAATAAGATTGATTGAAGGGTTTGATGTGGAAATAAGAAGCAGAAAGGGTTAGGGATGACATCAGGGTTTCTGGTCCAAGCAGTGGGCAGGATGGCAATGTCATGGGGAAGGCACATGTAGTGGTCACTGTCAGTCCTGCTCAGATCCCCTGGGATCCCTTTTATGCTTTCTGAGCTCCTCTCCTTGACTTCTGAGTGCTCATGCTCCTAACAGCTTGACCTCTGGCTTCTGGAGTCC